GATGCAAACATATATACTCACATGCAAAGGTATAATTTTTCTCCAAAACAGATTTGAAACCAGGAGATAAAACTGGTGTGCCGTGCCTGCACTTCTAAAAAGCCTGCTTACATGCCCTATGGATAGAAATGAGAGAACCAGGATGTCGCTGGCTTCCATGTGAGAATGTAGACGTGTATACATGCATATGAAAACACAGGAGAAAGTAATATGCACACATTCATATGTGTAAGCGTGTGCCTGTGTACATATTTATAGGTAAGCAGATATTTTCAGTCCCCTGAGCTGTAAGTGAATTACTGGTTGCGATGCCTGAGGGCATCGGTGAGTTTCAAAGCAGGAGGAGCCTGGCAAAGCCGGCTGCTGGAGAAGGAGCTGGCAAAGGGGCAGCAGCAGCTGCTGGGGACAGGAGTAGGAGGCTGCAGCCAGAGCTGTGCAAATTCCTTGCTTGCATTCCTGTCTGGGTGGGGAGAAGTGGAAAAACACTTTTTTTTTTTTTTCCGAAGTAGAAACTGCTGGACTTGATTTCTTCTTGACTATGCCACTATAGCAATGAGAGAAGAGGCAAAATGAAGCATGGGCAAAGAGTTTTTTTCTGCTGGAATGCAAGGACATGGAAACTCACAGCCAGGGTCATACTGAGGGTATGATGGGGTTGGCAAGGTGCAGAAGGAAGATGATATTACCAGGCATGGTTTATATGAGTCAGAAGAGAATAATAGAGGTATTACAATACAGAAAAGATGAGGACAATGAACTCATGCTAGTGGAGAATGTAGTTCAGGTGCCCATTTCTCCCTCCTCTCTGATTTCTTTTATCAAAAGAATCAAGACAATCCTACAGGGAGGAGTGAAGGAATGGGTCCAAAGCCATAGTGCAGCAATAATATGGATGGCTGTGATAAAAGAAAAGAAAAAACAAAAAAAGAGAGAGGTGAAAAAATGCACAAAGGAACAGACTTTATGAAAGAAGAATGAAGGTGTCAGAAGAGCAGAGGGAATGTGGAAAGGCAACATGAGAGAAAGAGAAGGATACTTGCAGCAGTGAAACCATAGATTTCTGTGACTGGCAAACACAACATCTGAAAGAAGAAAGACAGAAGCCCCAAAAGCTGTAGCAAGCGTGGTATTAAGGCACTTAAGTGCCTTAAGTGAGTACTACTGGTCTGTCTGGGATCAACTGAAAAGTAAAGGACAGCAAGCAGACCATTTAACAGGTAGTGGGGATGTCTTGATGGGTGCTGAAGCTTCTGAAGCCAGATAATATGATAGCAGTGACACCACAGGCACAGAGGAATCTGTATTTTTTGCTGCTTATTCCGAGATGCACCTTACCCACATGATAAAACTTTAAAAATAGAACAGATTTTAATCACTGAGAAAAAAAACTCTGGATTTTCTCTTCAGTCCTAATCCTACCAAATATCAGGGACTTAAAATTGAAAATATGAGAAGGCCAAATCAAACTGCTAACCTTCAGCACTCTAGAATAAAAAAAAGATTATGGTTCACATGATTATCAGGCTTATGCCTTATTATGCTTACAGTTTCATGTTTAAACATTTTTTTTAAAAAATTTAAAACTACACTAATATATTTACACATTCATGTTTAAAACAACTTCATACAAAGTCATTCAAAGTATTTTATAAGTCTGAGACTTTAAACTGACATCCAGCTCCAGAATGAGCAAAACCAGAGAATTAAGAATCTGGCTTTCATCTCAGATGGCTATCAAGAAAAGTACCTGTAAACCCAGTGGAATTGTGCCAATGTAAAATATATATGAGTGAAAGGTGAGTAGGTTCTGCTTGTCCACAGAGAATGGTTGTAAACAAGGTGTCAACACATTTCCTCCTGATGCTGATATGAAGGCCTTGTTAACCCAGCATGATGACACTTGAATTGTCATGGAGCTGCATCACTCGTTTTCAGCAGAGGACAGATATGTCAAGATTTTAGACAGGATGAAAGTAGAACTAGATCTGCTTATAATCATGCATGACCAGCTGCTCTGAATCAGTAACAGCTCTATGTGTGGAAGCAGTGCACAGAAGTGATGGATGTGTATAGCAGACCACAATCAGAGTACATTTAAATATTGATCCCAGGCTAAACAGCCTGGAGAGTTGTAGGTCTTTTACAAAATTGATATTGTACCAGGGAAATGGCTGATATTGTCTTGCTTATGCATATATAACAATTATCAAGCATTTACTGTACTAAGACAATAGGACTGGAAGAGTAAGTTTAAATAAAATTAAATGGCCCAGATAGCTTGTCCCAGAAAAACTCTTCAGATGCAATATGCCTAACCTGAAAAACCAGATGAGAAAGAAAACAGACTTCAAAAACTTTGTCGAAATCTTCATGTGAAAAAATAGAAAGTTAAAGTTTTAACAAATGATTGCTGGTCCATGAACATAGGTCTAATTTTCAAACTGGCAGCTTTATTGAAGAAAATGCATCCAGCTAAATATATACTGTGATATGAAACTCCCCAGCAAGCCTCCTGAAAACCTATCATTAGTTTTAAAAATGTACAATTTTATCTGTATGCTAAGAACTACTTTATGCTACAAAATGAATTGCTAAATTCGTTTTAATCTTTGATATTTAATTCTGTGAGGAACCGCTACTTTTTAGTAAGACATTTCTCTATGTCATCCATATAGTAATAGAAGCAGTGTCATTTTCAGCCTCCCTCCAAGCCAACACCAGAGCTATATTTGGAAACATTTTTGATTTGCGGACTATTTTATATGGTCACCCATGAAGCTCAAGAAGAAGACACTGCTTTCCTAAACAAAATTAAACCAGCCTTTTCCTTTAAACTGCTGTTTGGAATTTCCTGATTCATTATACTTGTGTAGCTAGACACTTTTAAATAAACTTTTTTAAATGAGAAAAAAACAAAGGTACTGGTGAGGTCCACTAGAGGTGTCTGTATCTCTTTCTTGATAAGAGAAGGAAAAAAAAAAAAAAAAAGGTTAATTTATACCGGCAACCAAACTTTAAGATATGTTGGCATGGCAGACAAACTCCAGATCTCCCATCTCTGTATCAGGAAAATACAAGATATACAAGATATATGATATATTCCATGCAGAAATTCACACTGTTGGTCAACAAAACAGAAGCAATCAAAATAAAATTATTTCCTGAAGAAGATTCTGGAGAGGACATGGTTTTCAATAGACGGTGCTCACAACAGCCTGCAACTGTGACATTCCCAGAAAGTGGCTTCACAGAGTCACAAAAGCTGAATTCACAAAGCTGAATTTTGCCATACCTGACTCTTTATACTTAATACTGGCAAACATCTTTTATTTATACTAGTTTCAATTACTCAACCAGTGACACACGTACCACTGCTCCAGTTAGTCATGACTCTTCAAGCAGTGCCACTTTGTGCTGATTGACCTTGACAGACTTTGGTACCAGAAGGTCCAAGGAAAAAGAAATTCCACAGTTAACAGTTGAAGTAAAAACTTCAGATTTGATAGACATAGCCTGAAGCTGAACCATAATTGCTGTATATGTACCTGAGATAGCTTAATCAGGCAGATTTTGTTTTCCTGAAGCTAGGTTCTAAATATGAAACAAATTTAATAACAAATAAAATGGAAGGGATCGCCTTGGTAGCCACTGCTATCAATAGCTGTAATGATCATCTTCATTTAGGAGCATAATATTCTGATGTCTAGCCTATGATTCTGTAATCTTAGGACCACACTTCATCTGCTTCTTCCACTGATTATGTACACTGATGAAGTGTGTTGGGCCAAAGCCCCAAAGACTAACTCAATAATAAGCAGAAGTCTTCCTGTCCATCCCCAGCAGACAAAATGACAGAAGCACAGAACATGCTTTTGGAATATCAACTCTCAGAGCCCATGACCACAGGAGTTTCTCTGTCCATCTTACAGACTGCTTCCAGGGCCTCCTGAAGGCTCAACTGCCCTGCTCTATGCCCCTGCCAAGCCTGGTTAGATCAGACCAAGCTCAATCAGAAACACTCCAACCCTTTAAGAAAAAGTGTGAGACCCCCTCAGAGACCTCTGGATCTTTTTCTCATGCAACAAGTGCCCTCTCGGTGTGTTAGCATGCATTCTGCTCTGTTCCTGCTCTCAGCCTTTCCCCAAAGTGTGAGAAGTTCTGGCAGGAAGCCAAACAGATGATGGTGCCTTTCTGGGTCTGGGGGTTTGCTGATCCAAACTATTGACAGGAAGAGGGGAGACCTGAGCAATCAGGAGAATGTGGGTTCTCTTTATTTCCCAGTAAATGCCTGAAGAGCCAATACCATATTATTAATTTGTAACTGTCTGATCTGAAATGTTTTGTAGTACACACATTTGTTCCTCTCCTTCAAATATCTTATTTCAATTTGTATTTCCCAGTATACCTCTAGATACTTGCAAACCTTACTCCCATTGATATTAATCTATCCCCTGGCTGTGAAGACAGGTCTCAGTAAGGTAATAAATAATGCTTATAGCCTCTGTGAGTTGTTTCTCACTGCCATGGTTGTGTGAAGCCACACAATGTGGTCTCGGTGTGTCTGTCTGGTCCCATTCATGTCCACAAACATTGGCAAGCAATTGTGGTGTGTTAATATATTTTTCGCCTGTTAAGCACTTGGTTTTGAATTTCGCCATTCTTTTATTCTGCATTAAAAAAGCTTCTGGAAGCATGGAGGATAGGCATTCTCTATTTTTGTTGCTGCTACTGCTACTGCTGCTGCTGCTGCTTTTAATTCTTCTTAGTTTGTGAGTACCTGTGGAAAATATTTTTTCTTGTATTCTGGTACGTTTGTTTACCTAAAACTACCTCAGTATTACATAAAGATTTTCTAGAAGCAGTGGAAAACAAAAATATAATGCTTAACATAGTTCTTAAAGGCTGTTCTTGATTTATGTTCTGGTGTTGGAAAGATGCTTGTGTTTTTTAAGTGTTCTTTGGAAAGATTTCATTTCCGCTCATTGACTGGAATTTTTTGAGTGTACATTATCCAATTACATAATTATATAATGTATATCACATAATTTACACCTTTACTCTCATCATTATTTTGGTCTGAATGTAGTATATTAAGTATAAAATAACTACTAAACAAATAACTTCATTTTTTACAAATAAGGATTTTATTTTCCTTGTTTGAGAGTTTTTAAATGTAGTGCCTAAAACCTCCAATGTTGCTATTGTTAGAGTAAAATGCAATAGGATCAGACCTGAAAAAAAGGACACACAGAATGGAATCAACTCATTCTAAGTTGCAGGGGAATACACCCTGTATACATGCAGAATAAAATGAGCACTTTTGCATAATTCTATCCAAATAAAATAATCTTTCCAGGTACGTGATGCTGCATGTAAAGGCAAGATAAATTAGCTTTTGTATCAGGATGAAATTAGCTACAGCATCATACATTTCTTTTGAAATCAAATTAAGGGTTACAAAAATAAATGAGGTTATGCTCACAACTAAATGGCTAATAGCTCTTTGAGGCAAGATTTCTGTCACTTGTTACTTTCTGAGTTACATATTTATTTTCTGCCTTGGATTGTGAAATATAATCTAGCAGTCAGGTTGAGGTTTTTGGTATGGTTGGTTTTGGGTATGAGATTTTTGGCTTGTTTTTTTTTTTTCCATTCTTACCTTAAGTAATTTTTCTCAAGAATCAAAGCAACCTGATTTTTGCAATCAATAGAAAGAATGTTAGGTTGCTCTAAAGAGTAGCAATCAGAACAAAAATTGCTGTCAGCAAGCAAAATCTGACCTATGCAGTAAGGAGTGCAGTAAGGAGTGAGAACTGTTAATGTTCAATCCAAAAAAAAAAAATAAATACACCCTGGAGTTTTTTATTTTTTGTTCTTTAAATATATATTTTTAATTGAATGTATGCATAAAAAAATCTTATTTTGTCTACTTAGCTCATAAAAATGGTATGCAATACAAATGTAAGAGAAGCCTTTGATAATCTAGGTGGGGAGATGAATTTTGGATACAGGGAAATCAAATCAGACACAAAGTGCTTTAGATGAGAACTAATAGCTGGAAGTTGAATCTAGACAAATTCAGAAATAAAGTCAAATTATTGTACAAATGAGGCTAGTCACTGAAGTTCAACACACAAAGAATTCAAAATCTATGAAACTGCATCTTGAAACAGCTTTGAAATCCATGTGCTGTTGGGCACTTGTCCTAGGTAGATGCTAGGTTAATTTACATTTTGACCCATTTCATAGATTTAGAGCTTCTGCTGGAGAATACTCTCTTGACCCACTTTTGCAGTTGTCTCCATTTCCGACAATAGCCACGTTTTCTTGTATCCTTTTCTTTTGCTCACTGTTCAGAGGCTGTTGTACAAGGTGAACTTTGAAGAGATAATCTAGATGCAGAAGCTGTCTAACAAGAAAAATGCCTATGGGCTGAAAATAGAATGGTTGATCTAGATCTGGCTGATAGATTGGTTATATGAAGGATATCTCAGTTGATTTTCAAACACAGAACAAGGACAAAACTGATAAAAGAGCATTGATTAAGAAAGCATGCTAAGTGAAAGAATAGGTAACAGAAAGGAGATCAAAGTCACCTGGTAGCACACACTTGACTAATTCTTGTCTACAACTTTAACTGCTCCCACTTCACCATCTTGTTAGATATGTGGGTTTTGTATCTTTTTGACAGATGGGCTGGAAAGATAATACCTACAAGAGGATCTAAATTACCAAATAGAGCTGTCAACTTTTTGTGTCACTTGAGTGTGACTGGAGATTCCCGGAGATCCAAGTAGTTTGTTTCCTTCACACCAAAAGTGAGAATGAGTCTTAGTGACCCATTCTCACAGCTCATTGTGTTTAGGGTATCAATCCATTCTTCTACAAAGTAGTAATTTCTTTCTGACAAACTTGTTTGTGCCTGCCAGATTCTTTCATTTTGCATATGTAACGGGCACCCAATATGTTGTGAAAAGGTCTTCAGTAGCTGAGAAATATTCCTTGGTATTACTAAACTGAATAGGCAACCTTAACTGTGGTGTGCAGTCTGTCTATTCATGGAGAGATCCATCTTCCCAGAGCTCTGCTCCACAAGTATTTCCACCTGTTCCTTCAGTCCACACCTCCTTATCCATGCTGTGCACTCATTTGATACTGACAGGCCATGTCAAATACTGAATTCCCTGGTTTCCCTCTCAGTCTCAACACATTGTTCTTCCTTACCACATCCTTCCCCTGCTCCTGGCTTTCGGCACTGTCAGCAACAGCATCAAAGTCTGCAAAGCCTCAAAAATGAAAAGATGGGGCAATCATAGCCTGAGGGGGCAAAGTCACAGAAGCTGAGAGTGGGAGGAAAGGTTAGGGCTTGTCATGGATGTGCAAACATCCTACCTCCACAGCACTGTTGAGGAGAGAGCCCAATTCAGGCTTGCAGCATTCAAGTTATTCTCGCCTAGGGCTCTGCTAAAATTAGTGTCAGTCTCAAAGGAAACATGCAACCCTGAAAGACACAAAGCTAAATTTTTGCAACCTCTGACTATATGTGCTACGAACCAATGATTAAGAAGCATCAAATCACTGACTGGAAACAGGTTTTAAAGACTGTAGAAATGTAGTTCTGTTGATCTGGTCTGGTATCACTGGGTACAGCACAGCAAAGTTGTGTTTCCTACTTAGACCTGGATGGATATCTAAAGCTCTACCAGAACCATGCTGGTATTGAACATTCCCTTTCAGGGCACAGAGAATTCCATCTTTGCTATGATGTCTGTTACCTATAAGTCAGTGTCATAAAAGGTCATTCTTCTGCTATGAAAAAAGCAATTCCAGGACATTCTAGCTATTCCTTCAGGATCTGTATCAAAATAGAAATTACCTTCAAAATAACTCGAGGGGAAGAAAATGGCAGTTTTGAATTATTATGAGCCATATGGGAAAGAAGAACTCAAGCAGAGTGCTTCTGTTTCTTTCTCTCAACTGAAGATGACAGTAGTCTGGTTGCTTTTCAAGTTGCTACATTAAGGTTTGCTTACATCTAGGTGAAAAAAAGAAAAAAAATCACAAATGCAACCAACCCTTGTATGACATGTCTGGCCCAAGTTGACAAGCATACTGCATGGGTGATTTATATTTAGAGCAGGACCCAGAGGTGTCTAAAGCAATCTACTTTCAAAAGCAGAAGTTGTCATATTCTAAATCTGCTCTTAAAGAAAACTGGACCTCAGTGTTATTTTCTGGATAAAATATACAACTCTCAAAAGAAAGGGCAATATGTGAAGTCCAGAGTTCAGTGAGGCACCTGATATCCCGATGCCTTAAGCTTTTATATGAGTGGTCAAAGCAATTTTGTTTTAGTCAGTGAGTTGTATGAACAACATTTAGACAACTAACAGACATTCTTCCACAAGTTACTAGTCAGTGCATTGATTGTAGATGGCTTGGCTTTTTGGGAATTAGGCTTGCCTTCTTCCATTTGATGCTTGTGGCAGAGGTGCTGTGTTGGCTGCTGTTTTCTAAGCTGATGTCTTCCTTACAGCTGCTGGAGCCACAACATTTCCCTAGGGCATGTTCTCTGCCTGAGCTCCTGTCTTTTGTAGCTACTGTCATTTCAAAGACTTCACATCACAGTGCTTGGGCAACATGGGAAATAAAAAGTCCTCTTTCTTTGAGATCTGCTCACTTGAGGTTAACTGTTGTTTTTTTCCCCAAGCAAATGTTTCCTGGGGATGTGTTCAAAGGATGTCGTGTTTTATGGCTGAGATATTCTGTTGATCCTCAGTTACCCTCTCATGTAGACTATGGAGGATTTTGCTCCACAGTGACAAAGGGTTCAAATTTTCAGATAGATTAAAATAAATATAGGAAGTTTCTTCTCTTGGTACTAATCTGCACAGCAAAACTTCTAAACATTTCTGTCTTTCTCTGGTAAAGACCATGAAGCAATCAAGTGTCCTGCCTGCTATTGATGGCCACTTTGAATGGCCTTCTTGTCAAACAAGTTCCTCTCCACTGCTATTAACTCCCCCAAAGTGAGCAAGGAGAGTTGTTATATTCAATTGGTGCTGTTTCAGCACATCTAATGGTATGACAGTCGAATATTTACTCAGAAACCTTATTTCTCAAGGGACCAACACATTTTGATCACTTATCTTCCAATTAAAAAAAATAAATATGCACATATATGAAGCAGTGTGCACACCTCTTTGTACTCCAACTATAAGTCTGAAAAGGGAAAGCTCTTCTGAAATGAATGCCACGGGAAATGCATGAATTTTTCATTCTTACAGGAGTTGGGGAAAAGTGTGGAGCAGCATGGAGTTTCTATTTTATGTCTTGGAGGCAGCAAACAAGTTTGGCTAAAAGCCAAAAGAGGAAAATTCTTTTAAAAAATACATTATAATAAAAATCATCTATCTTTGGGTGATTTGTGCTCCTCTTCTATAAACTTCTGTGCCTCTGGTCCTCTGGTTTGCTTTTGCTTCCTGTGATTCTGGCAGCTTGCCAACTGAGATTTCTATCTCTAAAATAAAAAAAAAAAAAAAAAAGAAAAAGTTAGTGGCAAATATCAATACTGAATTACTTCATTAAAAAGCCAGAGAGGAGCACTTGCTATTAAAAAATTCTTTTACTTTCATTTTAGCAGAATGTATATATTACCCCTCTGCCCACTGGCACTCCCCAGGTACTGAAGATGTCTTAGTTAGATATGTGTTGTAACCTCACATTGCATTGCCTGTGTTACATTTCAGAAACAGACCATTTAGTACATACTCTTGAAGCTGCAGTTTAGGTAAGTTACCAGTCCAGCACCCCATATAAAACTTCCAGAAGGAGAAGACATCTTTTTGCTGTCCGAATTAATCTTTATGTATACAGTGATTCAGGAATTAATTTCTTTGACTATGCCATTTTGAGATGCTCTGAATTGTTGTCAATTTGCAAGAAGTATTTCTTGGGAATGTGGAATCCTTAATGCTATCCTGCTTATTTCACAGTGACAAGAAGCTTGGTGTGCATTACTGAGCAGAGCAATTGAAGTGCAAGGTGAAAATCTTATCCAGAAGGTTAACTGGGAAGATGTCATTGCAATAGTGAACCAGCTGCCAGGGTAACACTCATTTTATAGTCCTTCATGCCGACAAAAAGCATAGCAGTGGAAGCAGAGGACTTGAGCATGTGGGAAGAACTCAACCTTACAATTGCAGACTGGATGAATTTATTAAGTTGGGTGGGAGGGAAGGCAGGACCCAGAGAAAAATGGTCAATAGAATAAAACAAAATACAGATTTAGCAAAAAACTACTGACCTGAAGAGCTTTCAGTAAATCAGTTAATTAGAAAATTTAAATTTACTTTTTTTTTTTTTTTTTTTTTTTTAATTTAGCTATCAGAGCCCCAACTCCCCTGTCAACAGGCTGTCACTAGCTGGGTTCCCATTCCCCTGTGCTCCCTTGTGCTGCAGCAACTCTCATGGGTAAATGCCCCAGACACAAATTCTTTGGTTCCAGGAAAGAAACTGAAGAGGCAGGTTATTTTCATTCAGGAAAAACCCCCTGAAACTTTGCTCAGCACTCTTAAGACCACTAATACTGTCTAGTCATCCTCTCGCACTTTCAGCTCTCCTTTTCCTTAGCTGATGCCCTGCAAACAGCAGGACTCCAATCTTCACCCACTAATTCCTGGAAGGGGACAGCCTGTAATGACATCACTTCTTGGGAGACAGCTGTGGCCCATCTGCAGCTTTCTCACTGACAGAAAGACAATACTAAGAGGGCAAACAAAGAACAGAAGGAGATGAAACGTTGAATTAAAAGAGGAGAGCACAAATGGAAACAGTGCTGAATGAGAGACAGAAAAAGGCAAAGGTCACACTACCAGGAAGCTAATGTCAGAAAATAAAATATGATTGTATTTTGCTACTTCACTTCACCCTCTTTTCTTTTTGTATGTGGCTTTTCATAATCTTTTTCATGTTATCTTTCCTACCCTTGTTTTCTTCCTTTCTTGCCTCTTGGCTTTTCATTGCCTGTTTTTCAGTGCGTTTTGTGTTTACAGAAACAGACCATTAGCCTTTACAACTGAAGTTAAACACTATTTGAAAATACCCACCTGATTCAAAATTCTCACCTAAATTTTGCATATTGCATGACTGGACTGGGGAGACAGAATATTAGTGTGTTTTATGCAACATTAAAAACATACTTCTAAAGTCCAACCTCACAGCAGTAGTCTTTGTCATCTTTAATTTCTCTTTGAAACACTTTCTCTCTCTGACCCAGTGAGTCATGAATTCCTGTTTCCAGATGCAGCAGCTTGTAGTCTGTTGCACACCTTCAGAGGCTGAAGGTTCAATGCACTGAACTTTGCCAAATGAGTGCTTTTGCAATTATTTTACTCTACAGAAGAGGATTCTGTGATGACAGTGACTCTTTTTCTCTAAAGAATTTTCAGATGTTCTTGAATTGGCCAGCTCATGCAGGGGGAAATCTGGATATTTGTGTCACCTTTGATTTCTGTCTCTGCTTTGACACCCCAGCACACTTTACCAGGCACTAGAATGGGCATTGGCACCTATAATTTCTGCCACACGTGATTTCCTTCTATGAACTGCCTACTTATTAAGCCTAGGCTCTCACGTTAATGTTACCCATTTAATACACAACTAAATCTATTTATAGGAAGGCACATGTAGGTAGCAACCTCTGCCTTTCTGCAAATTAAAATTAATATCTCAGCTAAGCAAAAAAAGTGTTCTATAATTTAAAGCTGGGGTCCTAATTAAAGGCGGAACTATGTGTGAATGGTTTTTTGAAATCACTGGGATTCATTTTACTAATAAAATAGCACACATACTGAAGTGTCCCCTTGGGTCTCTTTTCTCTTTATCTTTAGAATGCCTGCAGGAATTTTCCTTTGTTTACTTAATTTTCCAAATTATACATTGATTTTAAGTTTCCATTTTCTGAATTTATTGTGAACTATTTTTGTGTTAATATGCACATTTATTCCTTTGGAATAATAGTAAATGATAGTAAATTAAAGCCTCTTTCATTTTCACATAATGTATTTTCTATTCTTCTTTTCCCACCCTTCACACCTGAATACACACATCCTCCAAGCATTCACACAGCAGTGTAAATGAGAGGTTGGACAGCTTAGGGTACTTACACACCAAAGAAACAGTAGTAAGGTACTGAAGGGAACACTGAGAAGATCCCTCTTAACTTTCCCTCCACACTATAAGTACATAGCTGCATATCCCTTCTTGTTACTCAAATATCAGCCTGACCATGCTCACTTGAAAATCTTTTTTACACTTCTGCTATCAATGGAGAAAGGTAAGGAAGGTCATTACAGGAGAAAAAGTACCACATGTGTTGCACAAACTATTCTTAGGAAACATAGCCAGGGTTTTCTTTTACATACATTCAAGAGATGCAGTCTGTGTTTCCCATGGTTAGCCCATGTAGGGTTTACACCCTGCAAAAGAGGGAGCTGAAGATATCTTCACAGTTGTCTGATACCTTCAGTTCCCACTCAGTTTGATTCAGCACATCAGGTTGGTTCTTTTTTTGTTGTCTTAACAAACCTTGATTATATTTTAATGAGAAAGTGTTTTCCCAGCATGTAGCCTTAATTTTACTTTTCAGCAGGTGGCTTATGGTCTAGCTCAAAAGTCACCATGTAAATCCTGACAGTAGATTATACTAGTTAATAATATAATGCTCAGACCCTGGGATTTAATGATTAATTTTCCTTTTATTATAAATAAATTCTGCCCAGAGAAAGCCTCGGTGAGGAAAATAACTTGTCAGAGTTCCTTCTGGATTCTGAGTTCCTCTGACCCATTATCTTTTAATTATGCCTCAGTTTTGTGCTTCCATAGGGCAGTGATTTTAATAATTTTAATGAACTTTAGTACAAGTAAGATATGTAATTTCTCAATTTCAGTACATCCTATGAGCTATTGGGCTCCCTGACTCAGGGAGCTGAAACTTCTCAGCACCTGACAGAATTAAATTGCAGCTTGTATGAAACACTACTGTGAAGAGTAGCTGAGTCCCACAAACCCTTTAATCTGTTTTATTTCACGTGTGGAATTGGATGAGCAAAGGTTACCAGTGTTTCAACAGCTGGGACTAAACCCACGTGTGAACAGCTGGTTTTGAAACAGAGTAGCCCACACAATGAGTGCAACAAAGATTACACCGAGCTTCTATATTGATTTTCAAGGTGGTTAAAATAGGAAACTGGATTCAGAAATGACATAAGGTCTAACAAGCTTGTGGTTTTTCTCTGAAACAGTTTGGTAGAAATCCTAGGTATCATCTGCAAACTAAACTTGCAGTAACAGTTGTTTTATAGGACCTTCTTAGCAAAGACTAACATTCAAATGACAGGAGAGACAGCAGTTTTAATTTATGTCTGCAATTATCACATCTTCCTTATTTGTGTAGCTGGGCGAACAGAGAAGCTTCACAACATGGTATGAAGGGTCCAGAGAAGACGAGCCAAAGACATACGTAATTTTATTTTCTCCTCCGAGAGGTTCATTTTTCTACTGAGCACATAAAGAAGGGTGAAATCAGCTAAAAGATTCAATGAACATTAGGCTTTTTCCCTGAGAGTAGTTTTATATTATAGCTACTCCAATGATTCCATCAAAACTGCTTCTGCTGGATGAGACAGGAAAACAGGAATCTTTCTCCTCCCATTAGACATGCTGGGAGTATACAAAAAGGAGTAACTCTAATGTTCTAATGATATTAATACCATAAGAATCCAGAAGTTATATAGGAAATATCTAATAAAGAAATTTAGAAACATTGGCATAGTCTGGTCAAAAGGAAAAGCATTTTACTTAATATGCAATTTGACAGCACTAAAATACAAATATATTGTGAGATAATCTCCCACAAAATAGCTGTAATAGAGAAGAGTAAAAATTATTTGTATGCTTGCAGATTTACAAAATCTCAGAGTTTCTTTTCAGGGTGTACTCACTGACCACTAAAACATCCTTTGTCGTGTCTTAGCACTGTAATAGAAATTGTGAATTATGTGTTCTTAAACAGCAGTTCTTAAACCCTTGAACACAGAATGAAGTTTAACCTCAAGAGAACACACACTGGAATGAAGGCCAACAAATATCTGAACCTGGCAAGCCAGTTTAGCTTCATATACTCTCATGTCAGTATGAATATGCACTAGCAAGTTGACTTGTGGCAGTAACTCTCTACACTCTTGCTCTGAATACATAAGTTTACCTTTTATAACTGCATTGAAATACAATTTTATTCTAAGTTGAGGATGTTCTGCTGGGAATTTTTTGTTTCTGGGAATGGCAGAGAGACAGTGGAGTTGCAAATCTTACATGTGTACCACATAGTGAAGTGCACGTTTGAGTGCTAGTTGAGTCCTGACTGATGTGCTTTCCATCTGCAGTGCTAGTATTTGTAGGCTGCTGTATTTTTAAAGTGCCTACGCTGCTCTCAGAATGATCTGCTGAAAGACAACAATGTAGTATACACAGTTCTGCTCATGCCTAAATTATCCACAACAAATTAACAAAAACCTGGTGCTGATTGTGTTCAGGCCATCCTGAGGCAACCACTTACTGGGCTTAAGGGTTTACTTTTAAAATACACATTACTGGCTGAGACAACAGGCTTGTTCCCATGTTAAATTAATGGTGAGACATATTCTAAGTGTTTTAATGTCTCCAGCTCAGCATTTAAGGTCTGCTTCAGAAGAACCTTTTAAAAGATGTTGAGAATTAGTAAAGGTCCTCCTTCATGCAAATTCTGATTAGTAGGAGGGGATGATTAAAAGGTGGCAGAAAGCCACACTTTTTCTTTCTGTGTTCTAGGCCTGTCTGACCCCTACTTTTCATAGAATCACAGAATCATTTAGGTTGGAAAAGACCCTTAAGTTAATCAAATCCAAAAACTAACCTAACTCTTCCAAGTCTATCACTAAGCCATGTCACTAAGTGCCATGTCCTTCATCCCCCTGATGTTTGAGGAGCCTCGTGTTTGCTTTACCTAGTGTGATTTATCTACGGCCAAAATAGTTTGCTGTGCCTGATGAGAATGGACAAAGCATAGCAAGGTGCTGAGCAATCATTGCACCCGTCACTGTGGGAGCCCCACTGTGTCATCACCGTAGCTTTGGACATGCATGGCTTCTCAGGAATTCCCTGATGCCTGACCACATAAGCATTTGCTAATACCACAGTGGCAGAGATGCTTTGTGACTGACCAGCCAGCCTTCGTTGCCCTACAACTACATACCAAAGGCCCATTTAATTAAACCCTAACCCATCTACACCAAAGAGGTAAGTGGACTGGCATGGGAGATCTCACAAGGCTGCTAAGCAGGTTCAGTGCTCCAACAAGGCAACTAGATATGAACTTGGTCGCCAGGCAGCCTGACAAACAGACCCCAGCAACCCCTCACAGTCTGCTTAGAATTAATATCTTTCTTGCTCACAAGGGCCTGACTGAACGGCTCAAGAAACACAGCACACTCTGTGTCTCTCCACACTACTAGAATAATATCTTTAATAATGCATTTTAATGTTCTGTGTGGGCAGGAATACTTTTAGACAAGGAATTAGAGTTAGCAGGTTTTATTCTAGAATGTTCTGGTTCCATTGGGCTTTTTTTTTTTTTTTTAACAAATTTAAATTTTGTCATGTAATGGTTGTGATTTTGCTACTTTATTTTTACCAAATAGTTGTTAGTTTTTGTACTGGAAATTGGTGCAGTTTATCACGGGAGGATGCTGTCTGTAACAGACCAACCTAAACCTCTCCAAGACAGCTGTGGCAAGCAGCCTTCTGATTGTCCTCAGCACTTCCAACTGCCCCTTCACCTTCTTCCTCAGGTACCCACTGTGGTACAGAACCAGTTACTGCCTTTGTGCCACTGAGCTGGCACTTTCCAGTCAACAGGCCTCTTTGGACACCTGTCTGGAAATAAAATTATCAGATATTTCTCTTAAAAACAACTGCTTTGATGACATTACCTTACAAGCCCCTTGCAAGTACCAGTTGGGCCTGTCCGAGTGGGTCCAGAGGAAGGCCACAAAAATGACCCGAGGATTGGAACACCTCCACTGTGAAGACAGGCTGATATAGGCAGGGTTGTTCAGCCTGGAGAAGAAAAGGCTCCAGGGAAACCTTATTGTGGCCTTTTGACACTTAAAGGGGACTTATAAGAATGATGGGGACAACCTTTTTGGTAGGACCTGTTGCAACAGGACAAGGAGTATAATTTTTATACACAACAGGGATAGATTTAGACTAGATATGAGAAATAAATCTTTTACAAAGGTGATGAAACACTGGTACAGTTGGTACCACTAAAGATGTGAGGATGCTCCATCCCTGAAAACATTCAAGGTCAGGTTGGATAGGGCTCTGAACAACCTGATCTAGTTGAAACTCTCCCTGCTCATTTGCCTTTAAAAGTCCTTTCCAACCTAAACTATTCTATGATTCTAGGTAGTCTGTCACTCATGAATACTCAGTGGATTTGTTTGCAAGAAAGGGAAGATGAATCTTCTATCATTACAGTTAGTTCAAACCTCTGGGTAATAAAAGCTGAGTGAGCAGGAAAAAAGATCAATAAAATCCTGATTCATTTTACTCTCTAATTTCTGAGCACCGTACCCTTTCTCCTGTCAGGTGCCTAACACTTATTTCTGTCCTGCGGACTGAAGCCTGTTGATCTCATCCTATGCAGCATTGGTTTGGAAAGTGCTGATATGCTCAGTATGGCCAGTATCACAAAGAAGAAAGTCTTGTGGACATTCAACAGGAAATAGTTCAGATTTCTGAGTGTAAGGCTTGGCCATGAAATAATTAACCTTTGCTTTGTCTCTGAGTATTTAGGGTTTGCATTCTTCTTTTCTTTGTGCATCTGCCCCTATGATTTTAAAGAGAGCTGTTAAAGGCATTGCTATTTGCAGCCATGGTATTTTGTGATTATATTACCATGTTCTTCCTCTTTATCAATCTAAATTCTGCATGAAAGGGGCTTTTAAACTGAAGTTTCTTGCATTGCATTCAGAAAGAATCAAGATGGGCTTGCCCTTGAGCTGCAATTGACTCCATCAGGTACTATCCTTGACAGCAAATGTCAGGATGGGCTGCAGATGGAGAAAGAGACAGAGAAAGACAAGTATCCAAGCAGGCCCAAGGCCACTCCCAGGATTCAAGACTAATGCTTACAGCGCACACAGTCTTAGAAAGTGAATAGCTGGACAGGCACCACTGTAACGTGTTCCCACTGAGTTAATTCAAATACTATTTGCTACGTGATAGACTAGCTCAGTTTTTTACATAGTCTTCATAGCAGTCCAAGAGTGTTTGAATAAACTGTGGAAAGCATACTGTGGATGGTGTACTTGACTGGTAAGGGGTTGAAACAGGACAATTTAGAGGGCTTTGTCTTATCTCAGTGTTTAGGTGCAAGTAACCTCAGAACATGCATGAAACCATCTGTGACACTGACAGTCAGAACAGACACATTATTCAAGATAAAGAACTCCTGCAAAACATACAAAAAGACAATTGTTATCAATTCCAGTTTTTTGTCTAGCCTGAGCATGAACAAGCTTCCCCTCCACCCCTTCCTGGACTAACTAGGAAGGTGTATATTTTTTTTTCTGTCTGCCATTCCTGAAACATTTAAGGCATCTCAGAAGACTAATGTTATCAGAGTGTTTGATATGCAGATACCTTTGATGTGCATGCACTGCTTTTGAAAATTATGAGAAAATACAGAAAGTTATCAAAACCCACCATTTATACACCTGGCAGCCAATGGGAAGGGACATTGGGAGTGCCTGTGGACATCTGGGGGGATATTGAGGAAGACAAAGCTTTCTTACAGCTACAGTGGAGAGAAAGGATTAGGTGGGTGTGGACAGAGAAGGTATGATTGCTTTTTCTATGTGACAGGAAGGGTTAGGGAAATTGTTTATATCTTTGTATCATTACAGGAAACGTCTTTGCTTATGCATACATCTGTGACATTGGAAGAGGCAAAGACATGGATTTATTTAGGGTTTTTTGTTTGTTTGTTTTTTTGCTTAGACTTAGAGAAAGGGGAGATTAATTTTTCTGTCTTTTCTGTGGAGAGGGATGAAGGGAGGTCTGTCTATACATCTACAGGATGTTTCAAAAAGAAAAATCTGCGAGGTCTGTATGGACTTCAAAAAGGGTTGATCATAGGTAGGACAGTTCACTTCAACGCTGTTCCAAGCGGGGCAAATGTTTAGTCTTCTATTTTTGGCAGTAATGACGTTCGAGCTGACAAATCAGGAATTCAAGGCATTGTACTCCACAAAGCACATCGTTCAGTTTGAAAACAAGGCCAATAACGCCCCTCGCACTCTCATTCTAGGCTGAGACACTTACACCTCCAGGGCAATCCCAAAAGCTTTCCCCCCCCCCTTTTTAAAGTTTTCACTTTATGTGTTTCAAGTTATTTATCCCTCGTCCCACGGGCCACCTTTGTCTTTCCGGTGTGGGAGAGCGGTCCCCGCCGCCTGACGAGCTGGCCATCCCCGGGCGCTCTGCCCCACGCACGGTTCCCACACACGCCGAGCTCCCCGCGAGCATCGCCCGCTCCCGCTCGCGCACACGGCGCTGCCAGGCCGGGGCTGCGGGACCGGCTGCCGCCGCCGCCGCCGCGCCCGCGCCGCCCTGCCCGGGGCCAACATGGCTGCGCGGCCGCGGTGCCAACGGCCGGGCAGCCCCGGGCCCGCGCGGCGGGGCCGTTGTGCGGCCGGCGCGGCCGTTGCGCGGATGGGTGGGCGGTGGGCGGCGGGCGGACGTGCGGCGCCCGGGGGGAGCCGCGGGCCGCGCCGCCTCCGCGGCGGCGGAGCGGTAGGGAACAGGAGGGAGCGGCGGGGAGGGACGGAAGGAGGGCACGCGGCCGACGGGGCGGGGATTGCCGATCCTGCGCGCTGTTTGTCCCCGCTCCTCCGCGCGAGGAGGAGGGTCCTGTCCGGCCGCCTGCTGCTGCCTCCTCCTCCGTGCGAGGGGACCGGGGCGACCGGGGCGGGGGCGGGGGAGGTGATGAGCTTGGGCCGGGGGCTGCGGCGGCAGCGCGGCTGCTGCGGCTGCGGCGCGAGGCGACGGCGGGCCGTTGGAGGGTCTGTCCGGCCGGCCCGGGGCCAGGGGGATGCAGCGCAGGACGTGTCTGGGTCTGGGTGTAGCTGATCGGAGAAGAGAGACAGACGCCGCCTGGAGAGGCCGAGGAGCAGCGGAGGAGAGCCACCCTGACATGCCTTTTCCTCTCCCTCCTCTCCAGCGGCCATGTTAACCAGAAAACCCTCGGCTAGCGCCGCCGCTGGTGCTGCCTACCCAGCCGGTAAGGAGAAGCGAGCGAGGGCCGCCGCGGCCGCCGCCGCCGGGCCGGGCTGCGGAGGCCCGGCGGAGGGGGGCGAAGGCGGAGGGGCTCGGGGCCCAGCGGCCGCAGAGGTGCCGTGCGTGTCGAACAATGATCCGCCCTCTCCCCGCGGCAGCCGAGCCCGGGGGGCCGCCGGGGGCTGCGCGCTGGGCTCCGGCGAGCCGCTGTTGTGCGGGATGGCGAGTTCGCCTCGGGGGAGCGGGGCGGGGTGAGCGGGGGGGCCGAGAGAAATCACGGAGGGAAACGACCCAAGGAGAACTGGGGATCGCCGCTAGTGCCGTAGCGGCTGCGTTTGACAAGGGGCAGCGGTGCTCGCCGCCGCTTCCCGCGGCAGACTTGTGAACTCCTGGCGGGTCCCCGGCGGCGCCGGGATTTCGCCGGGCCAGACGGCTCGGGGGGAGGCGGGAGGCGCGGGCAGCCGTCCAGCCCCGAGGCGTGCGCGGGGCAGAGCCGGCTCGTTCGCCCGGTTAGGCGCCTGCCGGTGGCGGGTTAATCTCAGATGAAGGGTTTAGCCGGGCGAGCACGGCCCGCCCGCGCTATTAGCCGGATCGGTGCGTGTGCGCGCCGCGGCGGTGATTAGCTTTTAATGGCTTCTGCCTGAAGCAAGACGGGCGGCGGTGCCGGCCGAGCGCTGGGGCCGCCGCCGCCCCGACGGGCTCGCTGCCCGAGGGGCCGCAGCTGCCCACCGCGCTCACCCCTCTGCTCTCCGCAGGCAGGGCAGGGGACAGCGGCCGTCCGCTGCCGTCTTCCCCGGGCACCGGAGCCGGGGTCTCCCGGGCAGGAGCTGGGACCGGCCCGCCGTCGCCCCTCGCATTGCCGCCGCTCAGGGCCAGCAACGCTTCCCACACGGTGAGCCGGGGTAGGGGAGGGTGTGGACGGGGTGCGGGGAAGGGGCATCTGACCCCGGGTGTCGCGGCGCTGCTCGCCGTGTGTCCCTAGTGGCAGGGCCGAGCGCGCGTGGGCCCCCCGAGGCACATGGTGCTGAAGCAGCGTGCGGTTGATTTCTGTGGGTTCCGATGAAATGTGCATGCTTGGTGTGAGGCTGGGTCCCTGTAACTGCACACATTGCTTTCTCCCTCCCCATCTTCCCCCTCCTCTCCCCCCCCCCCCTTCAGACTGGTTTTCTGTCTCATTTTCAGAGACAGATTCGATCTTTCACACTTGCATAGAGGAGATGTTCTAGTGAACACATATTTTTGAGATGAGGCTAATCACTGATTAAAATGTCGTATGAACTGCGGTGAAAAATGAAGGCTGCTCTCCCCTTCGTATGTGTGATCAGCTCAGGCCGATCGCAGTCTTCCCTAGAGAGAGCTATCGCTGTGCTCAGGGACAATGATTAGATCAATCTGCCTTTATTGCTGCAGTAGTTTACCTATAAAGAAATAACCGCCGATGGCACGAAAAGAGTGTTATTTTCCGATTCTGTGATATCGCACATTATCTCCCACTCCGAGTTAATCTACTAGGAATGAAACTTCCCAAGTATGCTGCTATATATGGGTAAGAGAAGGTATCTGTCCTGGAGGCATGACAGAGTAGAGAGAGGGATCTATACACTGTCATGTTAACACTAAATATCTGAAGTTTTTATTGCATACATTTCCTTTTAAATTCTGAAAGATTTCATACTGACCCTGAAAGGCACTGATGGCATACTTTTCATAGAATTAATGAGTTCTTTGTGGAGGCTCACATACTATCTTTGTAAACATATGGCAGAACTTTAAATGGTAATGTGATTATGGGCTAGTGGAAGGTGAAACTGTGCATTTAAATATTAGTGTTTCAGTGACTTTCCATATAACTTCAGGGATAAAACATAGTCAAATCCATTTATAGCAAGAATTGTCTTAAATTAAATAAAAATCAGTATATATATGTATATAGGGTATTCTCAAAAGGAGTGAGGAATATTCTGCAAATTCAGAGTGGAGCTGCATACTTGAGGTCAACTTCATTGTATTTTATGTAGCTAGAGTACATGTCTGAATTGTTTGTTAGAATAAAAGACCAATTTTTTCCACATTTGTATACCAGTGAAGTGCTGCTTGATTTTAGAGTTGGGGCAACAGCTTAGGGGTTTGTTTAAATAAAATCATAGAAGAAGGAACATAGTACAAACAGGCTGGGCATCAATCATGCAAGTGCATTTACAGTAGGACTCACATGTAACAGAGCCCAGACTTATTTTAGGATTTGTGAAAGCATGGTGGTCCAGCTGTTTTTCTGTGACTACTTACTTATTTTGGAAGTACAGAATTTTGGTATTCTTATACAAAGATTTTGTGTATGTGTATTATATATAGTGTCTGTGTGTGCATATATATATATATATATATATATATGTATTTATGTAAAGATGCAGTCTTTATAAAAGCATTCAAGGGGTGTTGAGGTGTTAAATTTCTGTGTTCCAAGTATCTTTACAAATAGTGATTGTGTATGTGTACCTGTGTTTATATGTGTACTTATGGAAGCACTCAGGAATGATCAAGCATTTTATGGCTATGGATTATGTCCCTCTAGATTCTAACTGTTTCAAAGTCTGTCCTTCCTTTTTGATAAAGAGCCTATTCTACAGTGTTTTTTTAGCCTTGGGTGCTATTACAGAAATGCCTCATACTACCTTTGTAGGTGGTTATTTTGTGGTTTGCTAACATAACTTTTTGTGGTAAGGATCAGATATGGCACCAGGATGCTGGATTTTAACCTGAAAAAAAAAAGAGTGGTAGTATCTGTTCTGAAAACTTAGGCCTACTGACCTCAGCTGACACTGACAGATTGAAACCATTGGTTTTGTATCCCACCACTTCCTCCAATCAGACCTGTTGAAAATGGGTCCTTTCAGTTTTCTTAAATTATTTTCCTTCTTGTGTCCATTTGCTTATCCTGTTTCATCTCTGTTGTATCTATGTGGCTTCTGTAATAGCTAAAAATAGAGTATTTCTGGTTGTGTTTCAAACTTTCAGAAGGTATGGTGTGCTTAAGTAGGTGAACTGCTGGTGTTTATATATACATGTGCATAGTATGTATACTAATTGTGAGATAAACTGAGGTAGAAGTTACGCTTTGTTTAAGCTGAAGGGTTTTTTTCTTAATGCAGACAGGGAAGAAGTCAACTACCTGTCATATTTCTTGCTTATGTGATCCAGCCTCTGCTGAAACTGATCTCCTACTGTCAAGTGAAATTTCATTGTTTGGTTGATTATAAATAGCATGGGTAGAAGGGGAGAAGATGATGTTTTACACAAGCTTCATAAAATGGGACAGAGGTTTCGGTGGCACTCTTTGCAAGCACAGCAGCCTTTGTTGCTAAGCAGGCAGGGTTGTGTGTTCTACTAGGGAAAGGTTTTGTTTATTTTGTTTTTAAATGTGCCTTCATCCTAGGCATTTTTGTGCATGCTTTCATCCCTGTCTGTCTTTTTTGCCTCGTGGTGGAAAACAAGAACCTATTTCCAACCCCTTGTCCTCTTCATTTTCCTTTCCAAAGTCAGTGCTTTCTCTTTGGAAGCCTTATGTTCTTGCTGTGATGATTGGAACCTTTTTCCATTCACTCTCTCCTATTTCATTATGGTGTTCTCACATCCAGTTGTCGTGCTGCAGTAGAGGTTATCTTGCCTGCCTGCTGCTCTGCTTGTATAAATCCCAACCTGTCTCTGAGTCCCTCTTTCAGACTCATCTCTGTCTTCTGCCTAGCTCTAGCCGTGTTCTTTCTTACTTGGCATGTATTCCTGCATTCTGCACTGTTTCTGTTTCTCGTGCAGTATACCAGTATTAATGTTTTCATCCTCCTGTCTAGAACTGTGCAACAACCCATTTACAGTGCATGATCCAGTGCCCTCCCTCCTTCAAGCCCTAAGATTGCTTTTGCCATTCTTAAGCCCATTTTCTTTTGCCACCAACGTTGAATGGTTATCTGTATACTTTTACATCAGTCATTGTATTAGTCTTTATTTTTTAATTTTTTTTAATTGACTTATAATGGAACAGAAATTCTTGGACTCTGTTAATACAAAGACCTGGTAGGTCACGTGCTGCCTGTTTTTGCTGTTGTCATCTGCTTTAAAGCAGGTAAAACCCAAGCAAATACCTTCTTACTGTGGTGCTTTCATGTATTAAATTGCCACAGAAATGCTGTCACAATTGAGTGTAAATAACTATGCAGTCATGGCCTGGATTTTGCTACATCTTGTTTTCTTCAGGTGTTTCTTTGTCTATTTAAAATTTGTATCTGGGGGAAAGATGAGGCTATCTTAGCTTTCAAGGGCTTTGGGGGTTGGCTGTGAAATTTGGGTTCCAGCAGATGGTGACTGTGGTGCTGTAGGGACTGCAGTACTTTTGGGCACATCTCTCATATTTGTATAGTCCACCTAACCCAAGG